GACATTCCAGATCTATTGTGCTGTATGGGAAGGGGAAACTGAGGCACAGTACCATACTGCTTGCATGGCTAAATCCCAAGATTCCTACACTATGGAGAACAGGAATATTCCACTTAACTTCAAGTAATGTAATTCCAAACCTTTGCTAGAGCTTGTAGAGAGACATTAACTTTCTTTAGTTCTTTGCAAGATCACATAAAACATGCAGGAAGACAGATCCAATCCACTAATGGTCTAACCAAGTATTACCTTGAGTTTGCAAAAGGGCTCAATTATATTGTTACTTCCATAATGACCATTAAATACTAAAGCCTGTTTTAGGCAAACATGGTTTTCATAAACCATTCCAGTTATATGCTGATAACTTAATGCTGGATTAGAACCTGTCAGAGTGAGAACAAAAAAGTGAAAAGGCCCCAGTATGCAGTCAGTGATGCTGGTATCATCCCTTCCTGCAGTCATTTTCATTGGGGGTGTGACCTTATTGGATTGCGATATGAACACATGGATCATTGTTGCAACCACTATTATGTGTTTGCACTACATCTTGTACAAAGTGGGCCAAGTGAGGTGTCTGTAAAAAGCTTGTGATTTGCTGGTTATGTTTATGCCACTCATATGCATGCAGCATTTTTGTTTGAAGTTAAGTATTTGTTCTGTACTCGTATGTCAATTTTTTTTTTCTGGGAGATATCAACAGGAGGCCTGGGCAGCCTATTCTGAAAGGACTCCTAGTCAAGTGACTAGAGAGGTACTTGACTGACACTGGGCCTTGGGTGGTGCCAATCTGCATCTCATCAGCTTTGCTGTGAATGTTCAGACCAGCATGGGAGTGATGGCTGCTAACCATAACAGCCTGAGTCATGCATAGATAGTGACTTGTTCATGTCCATTTTGTAGCTGCATTTTTCCACAGGAAAACAATGAGAGTCCCTTCACATGGACGAGGGATATAAAAGAGCAGCTGGAAATCCCTGCATTTCTTGTTCACTCCTCCTCACCTCTGGAGGATCTTTTCTATCAACTGAAGCTTGAAAAGAAAAGAAAAAAACTGGTGATCCATCTCAGCTGTGGATGTACTCCAGAGACTCAATTTATGGTGACAGATTATTCCACCTCTGCTACAAGCCTGCACGAAGAACTCTGCAACTGGTGTATGGCATTTGATTCTGCTAACAATTTTAGTTTGCACTCTTTCTTTCTATAAACATACCCTGAGATTTTAGACTCTAAAGGACTGGCACAAGCATGCTTTTGGGGTAAGAGCTGAGTGATAAATTGACCTGAGCCTGCGGTGGTCCTTAGGCATCAGAAGAACCTTTTCATGTGGTAAGACTGGTTTTATAACCTCTTGTGGGTGGGAGGAGCAGTACTGGTGATGACACAGGAAAAGTGGAGTGTCTAAGGAAATTGTTTGTATGGCTTCCTGTTAGCCACTGTGGTTAAACAGAACTGCTATTTGTGACCGGTTTGTCTCATAGTGGAATATCCCTATTTTGGGCTGTAAGTAGCCCTGTCTCAAAACAATTTGCCCAGAATTGATACTCTCAGGTGTGCTCCCTAGAAACCTCTCTATTACAACCCCAGATAAATCCATCTTACTCTGTATAAAAGTTTTTTACACAGTCTAGGGGAATAGAATACAAAGGAAACTGAACCCAGGAGTCTGGATTGCCAGGCTCCCCCCTGCCCCTTCCCACACACACTAAATCCCCATTCTCCTCCCAGAGCTGAGGAGAAAACCCAGGAGTCCTGGTGCACAGGCCCCAGGCTGTAACCCACCAGACCCCACTCGTCTCCCAGAGCCAGCCACGGACAGGACCCAGGAGTCCTGAGCCTCCAGCTACTCCCATCCCCCTGCGAGAGGGGTACATGCTGGGCACCCATGGGGGGGAGGCCAGCTTTTCCCAGTGCCTGGGTCTGGCACTTACCTACACAGAGATACGAGCAGAGGCAGAGGGGGTCTATCCTGTGCTGGGAGTGTAGATGCTCTCCTAGGACGTGGGAGCTTCCAGGTCACTGCCCAGAGGAAAGAGATAATATTTGAAAAGAAAGGAACAGGGCTGGGGCTAGGGAGGGGGCGAGGACTCAGGAATGTTACACAAGGAGGGAGCAAAGTGAAATAGGACTGTGCTGATGACTTCTTTCTAATTGTCAGACACAGCCCACAGCTATGAGGAGACACATGAAAATCAAACAAAAAAGACCAACCACACGTAGCCTGAACCTACCCCTCGCTCCACTTCCCACCGATAATCAGCTAATCATTTTCCACCCCCTGCCCTTTCTGAATTCAAACATCCCTCTAACTTCAGTTGTTGGGAAAACACTGTGAACACACACACATGTACAACTGGACAGAGAAAATTGGACAGACATACACCCATACTCCAAGACAGAAAGACACACACAGCTACATTGCACTAGACAAATACACAATTAGACATAACTGCAGTGACACACACACGAAAAAGCGGCTGCCTGTCTACATTGGCCGTGAGTATTTGCACAAGAACACTGACATTGTAATGTACAAGATCAGTGCTTCTTACGCAAATACTCTGATGCTCCCGCTCAGGGATAAGCCCTCTTGCACAAGTGTTCTTGCGCAAGAGGCCAGTGTAGACAGGCAATGTTAATTTCTTGTGCAAGAAAGCCCGATGGCTAAAATGGTCATCGGAGCTTTCTTCCGCAAGAGAGCGTCCACACTGGCACAGATGCTTTTGCGCAAAAGCATATGCCTGTGTGGACGCTGTATTGCGCAAATACTTAATGGAAAAACTTTTCCATTTAAAGTACTAGTGCAAAAGCGCCCCAGTGTAGACGCAGCCACACAGCTAAATAGACACAAACAACACCGAGACCGATACACAATATTGAAATACACAAATCACACACACAGGACAAGACTGTCACCCAAATACACACACTGAGACAGCCAGACATGGACAGTCATACTCAAAGGGTCCATTTACACACACGTATTCAAAAAACACACTGAGAAACCCTCTCACACCACCCGGCAGTGAAACAACCCCACACTTTTCTTACACCCAAGGGAGACCACTGCACAAACGCCACCCTCCCAGCAGTTCCTGCGGGAGCTAAGCCCTGTGGGCCAGTGCTCCCTTTGCCTGTGAGAGCTGCATGGCTTGAGCAGGGCAGAGGGCTCCCAGCCCAGTGGCAGCGATATTGGGGGCAGTTCACAGGAGGGAAGCAGGGCTCTGCTAGGCCAGGGCCAGGATGGGGGAAACTCAGGGAACGGGGGGTTTCAACAGCAAACTGGGTTCACTTCTTGTAGGCTGCATTGTGGTGGCACAGCCCCTTCGCCCCCCACCAGTGGCTATAGCTCAGCACCAGGCAGGGAATCCCTGTATAAACAGATGCTGTCCCACACCCTAGAGGCAGTTGCATCTCAGCACTAGGCAAGGGACCCCTGTATAAACCACACCTGAGCCCCACCCCAGAGGCAGTCACATCTCAGTGCTGAGCTAGTTACCCTGTATAAACAGCCCCCACCTGCCCCCCTCCAGAGACAGCTGGCGCCCAGACACTCTGACCCCAGAGGAAACAGATAGGAGAGTTGGTCAGTTCAGAAGAATGGGGAACTAGAGCTGCTGCTAATTTCTCCCATTCTTATCTACAGGGCCGGCCTTGTGGTTGGGCCCGGGGAAGGGAGGAGAGATGTGGCTGTGCCCAGCTGGGGGCTCCTCTGGGCAGAAGGGAGGAACTCAGGTGTTCAGCCAGCCCAGGGCTCCCCTGGCTAAGGGGAGGGGGGCACTCAGGCTGTTTCCACAGGAAGGGAGTGAATGTGGGGCTCTGGCCACAGGGGGAAGGAGTCTCAGGGCTCTGGTTGGGGGGGCACAGAAGGGGCAGAGCCTAGGGCTAGTCTCCCCAAAAAGGGGCTCCACCCACCGTCCATGGTCTTGTCTCTTTTGCACTGAGTGATTCCTCTGTGTTCAGGCTCCAGTGGGTTTCTCCTGCCTGAAGGTTAAATGGCTGCTGGAGGCAGGTGTCTCTGGGTGACTCTCTCCTTTTACAGGGCACATACAAAGTCCTGGTTCTCTGAACAGCAACAATCAAACAGCAGGAGACAGTTTTGTTGCTCACACTCCCACCCATTTCCAGCCAGCTCTCTCTGCAAAACCCCTCTTGCCGCCTTCTCAGGACCATGCTTTTCGCGTGACTAGGGCTAACGTTTCCTTAACGACTTTCTTTTGCTTACACAGTACACCCAGAAAAGACTCTCACCCCCACCCTCGATACACATGCTGCTCAGTTTCCGACTGGCCTTGCATGGCCTGCACTTTGCAGTACCTCTCTGCTGAGTGTCCCAGCAGAACCGGTGTTACCAGCTTTGCCTGTTACTTTGGAGTGTGCTTCTCTATTAGGGTCACTCTTCTGAAGGGGGTCAGGTTGTTCTATCAGTGCGCTGTGTCACTTGTGTTCTCATACAGAATCCGACTTCCCCTTGGTGCCAGGTCCCTCCCTATGGAGCTCTCCTGCAGCATCCAGGTTCCCCAGGACGGGGTTGTTCCCACCCTAGAATCACACCCCCCCCTACTCACACCCACTGCCAGAGACTCCATGCTCTGCTAAAATCTATCTTTCTCTCTCAAATATTCTTACATACCAGTGTGTTTTCTTTCCTTTATAGCCTCTTTCAGACTGCTAAACTTGCAACTGCTGCCTGTGCTTCAAGACAACTGGAAGAGTTAAATTATCTTGGCTCATGTGACTACTTTATTATTTTTATTTTGTTGCAACAAGTGTCTATTTTGCACCCTTTTTAAACAAAAGTAGGTGTGGTACCAAACTACTGTACTATCATTGTTGCAGTATAATATTAACAGATTTTTTTTTTGCAAAGTTAAAAAAGGTCTCAGTTATAAATATTTGTACATATATTTCTGCCTCAACATGTAGTGCAATTGCAAACAAAAATAATTCTTTGAGAGAAATGTAAAACAAACAAACAAAAAACCTAATTATGTAATGTAAAACAAACAAACAAAAAACCTAGATTATGTTAACTAACTTAAACTGTTTAAGGTTTCATCCCACAGACTAGGGATGTTAAATTTAGATTAATCGGCTAATCAAATAGTTAATTCAATTTGCATATTCGATTAGTCAATAAGAGCGCCTCCACCTTTGAAGTGTCCTCCACCCAGGGCTATTCCTACACGTCAAAGGTGAAAACACTGCTGGAAACACGAGGTCAGTGGCGGAAGCAAGCCAGTGCTCCTTGCAGCATTTCAGAGTGGCAGTACTGCATGAAGCCTGAGGTCATTCCCCAGCTGACCCCAGGCTCCATGCGGCACTGCTGCTTTGAAGCACCCCCTCCTCTTTCCACACCCTTCCCCTCCTGCCTTTTTCTGATTGAGGCAGCAAAGGGGAGAGAATTGACTAGTCGAGTAGTCATTCACATCGCTACCACAGACCAGAAACACCAGACAATATCACAACATAAAACACACCAGAAAATAGCAGTATACGGTGAAGAAATGTCCAAGAATCAAGACAAGAAAAATGAAGTGTTTTATAAACAAGAGATTGTTCACCTTGATCTACCATCTATGAGCAATTTGTTAGAAATTACTGTTAGTTAACTTAAACATGGCTATATGTAAAATCGACTGTGTTATTGCTATAGCACTCTATTACTGCTGTATTGTATTATTGCTGTACACCATGTATAATGTGCGTTACATTGCTAAACTGTTTAACCAACACATAGGTAAAAATCACCAAACAAATGGCAGCAAGCAACATGAAAGCAAGAAAAGAACAAATTGGTAAACAAAAAGTAATAAATTGCATAGAACTCAAATTGAGTAAACAAATACCCTGTTAATGCCAGTGACATTGTACCTTAACCAGGCACATGTCATTCAAAATAATCTCATTCAGTGTCTCATTACCAGTGCTAAATCCTAACACAGCAACAATTGATCGCTGTCCATTCAAGCATGCTTTCTATTTTTCTTAATTTAAATTTTCAGTTACTGAAAATCACAGATGGAATCAAACCCTAATATTAAAATCAATGTTTTCATTGCAGTAAGTCAAATTATAATTGTTCAAACACAAATTATTAGCATCACAGGTCAAAATATACAAACACAAGAGCCTTAAATCAAGCTCTAATACACTTTCAAGCAGGAAATTTTGATTATTACGGATGGAAATATTTTGCCACCAGTTTCTATGTGTACAATGAACTCAGCTTTTACCAATAAAAATCCAGTCCTTCCAAGCACAGTTATAAAGCTTTAACTTTTTGAATCTCAACCTCTACTGCCATTAAATAATTGCCTGATCATCACATATCGCGTGGCCCCTGAAACATACAAATTCCCACAACCGTGATCATTGAAATTGATAAAAAATGGGGGGGAAATGCTTAAAACTTATAATTTTCCACATCACAATTTAAATCAATAGAACTCAACAAAAAAAAGCCTATGAACTAACTTGTGTCTTCCTTCAAAATTATAGGAAGGTAACTATCCGGCCAAGTCTAATCTGAGTATTGATTAGCTTGAGTTGGCACCAGGACATGATTGGCTGGTGGGAGGGTAGGCAGTGATCAGTCTTTCTGTATCTTGAAGGTGACAAATGCAAGAGGGTAGGGTGGAGCTGGAGCAGCCCAGCGGGAAGCAAAGCCAGGGGGAATGGGTGCATGGCGGGCTATTGTGCGGAGACATCAGAAGCAGGGGAGTTGCCATCAGTGGCGCTCTGGGTCGGGCCAGCCCCCTCGTCCTCCAGAGTGTCCATCATCTCCTTGTACTGGCGCTTGAAGAAGCCAAACTGGAAAGATACAGAGGGGAAAGATGATGAGAGCCAGATGGACACAGGCTCAGAGCAGGAGTGGGAGAGACAGGCTGTAAGAAGCTCCAAAGGAAAGAGACCTGCCCCTCCCCCACCATCTCGAGAGCCACAGGCCTGGCTGGCAGGGTGATGGGCTGTGGAGGATGGGGGTGAGCCCTGCCCCCCTCACCTTGTAGAGGGCTGCAGTGATGAGAGCCAGCAGGACCAGGCCTCCCACGCTGCTGCCCACAATGATGGGCAGGTAGTTATAGACCACGAGCTGCTGCACCATCGTCTGCACCC